AAAATGACTAGTGTAAAACCATTCAAACAAGAAAACCAACGGTCTAATCTATATAATAAACGAGAAAAAAGAAACACTTTTGAACCATATCAACAAACAATAACCATGAACATCAGGTTCCTGACAGGTGCAAACAAATGCAGCGGGTTTAAACGTTTTAAACTACTTTCAATAGACATTTGTTAAGTTTTTTGCTTAAGTTAGATTGATAGTAACTACTTGTGATAGATCAATGATATTTTCTATGAAGTAACATTACTATCAGTTCATATCAGTTTGATGACTATTTTGATGCCCTGCCCCCTAGGCTATGGTCCAGCGAATTTCAATTAATAAGCAATTTTCAATGTTAAGTAAGTTTTCTGCCTAAGCTAATTTGATAGTAACTACTTAAATCAATGATATTTTCTATCAAGTTGCACTATTATCATTACATATCAGTTTGTTGACTGTTTTGAGGCCCTGCCCTCTTGGTCATGGTCCAGTGATTTTTTTTCAATTAATTAGCCATTTTGATGTTAAGTTTTCTGCTTAAGTCAGTTAGTTAAGAACTACTTGTGATAAATCAGTGATATTTTGTATAAAGTTGCATTACTATCAGTACATATTAGTTTGACCACTGTTTTGGCTCCCTGGCGCTGTAGATCATGGTCCAGAGACTTTGAATTAATTACCAATTTTCAATGTTAAGTTTTCTGCTTAAGTTAGTTTGATAGGAACTACTTTCAATAAACAATGATATTTTCTATAAAGTTACATGAATGTCTGTACATCTCAGTTTGATGACCATTTCGAGGCCCTGCACACAAGTTCATGGTCCATCGACTTTGAACTAATTAGGGCCCCGCTGAATGGTGGAAGCCCTATAGTGATCAGTCTGTCCGTCCGTCCGTCCATAACAAATTGTGTCCGCTCTGTATCTAGAGAACCGTTATGATTTCAAAGTTTATACTTGACATGTATATTAACCAACACCAGAGAGTGTGTCATAATGTATGTACAACTTCCTAGGTCAAAGGTCAAGGTCAAAAACTTTGGTTTTAGTTGACAACCCCATGTCCTATGGTAAAGATCGTGTCCGCTCTATATCTTGAGAACCGTTATGATTTCAAAGTTTATACTTGACATGTATATAAACCAACACCAGAGGGTGTGTCATAATGTATGTACAACTTCCTAGGTCAAAGGTCAAGGTCAAAAACTTTGGTTTTAGTTGACAACCCCATGTCCTATGTTAAAGATCGTGTCTGCTCTATATCTTGAGAACCGTTATGATTTCAAAGTTTATACTTGACATGTATATAAACCAACCCCAGAGGGTGTGTCATAATTTATGTACAACTTCCTAGGTCAAAGGTCAAGGTCATAAACTTTGTCCAATGATAAAGATACAAATTTTTTACCACACGTTATTCACAGCGGGGCCCACAGAGATGGCTCCCATCTCAATGATATCTAGTTAGCAAAGTTACTGACCATCAGATTTTCTTTTTCTGAATTTAATGCCGACAGGCAAGACATATCTCTGTGTTAACGGTTTATTATTTTATATTCTGAATTGTCCTTCCAGAGTTACAGGACTTTTTATGCCCGCCGTAGCGGAGGGGTCATTAAGTTTTACCCTTGTCCGTCTGTACGTACGTACACAAATTGGTTTCCGTTCTCTAACTTTAGTTTGCCTCAACCAAATGTTATGAAACTTATACACAATGCTTATTATTACAAAACTCAGATCAAGTTTGAATTTTGGTGGCGTCACTTTTACCGTTCTAGAGTTATGCCCCTTTACAAATGGAAAATTGCTGAATTTATCGTTTCCATTCTCTAACTTTAGTTCGCCTCAACTAAATGTTATGAAACTTATACACAATGCTTATTATCACAAAACACAGATCAAGTTAGAATTTTGGTGGCATCACTTTTACCATTCTAGAGTTATGCCCCTTTACAAATGGAAAAATTGCCTAATTTTTCGTTTACGTTCTCTTATTTTAGTTTGCCTCAACCAAATGTTATGAAACTTATACACAATGCTTATTACCACAAAACACAGATCAAGTTTGAATTTTGGTGGAGTCACTTGAACCGTTCTAGAGTTATGCCTATAAATGAAAAAATTGCAAAATTTTTATTTTCTTCTAAATATTAAGTAATTTTTATTAAAACTGGAGTTATCTTCCTTTGTCCATGATTATAATTGAATCAATTACATTCAATGCTTTATACAATGCAATGTTTAATTTTGACTTCCACTGATAAAACACAGATCAAGTTGAATTTGGGTAGTGTCACTTTAACCATTATTGAGTTATGCCCCTTTATAACTCGAAAGATTGCAAAATTTTTAGTTTCCATTCTGTAACTTAAGTTTGCACCAACCAAACATTCTGAAACCTATACACAATATTCATTACCACAAAACTAAGATCAAGTACAAATTTTTTGTATGATGTAAATGATATGAAACTTATACACAATGCTTATTGCTACATAATAAAGATAAAGTACGAAATTTGGTCGCAACACTTTTACCATTCTTGAGTTGGGTCCCTTTATAAACATGAAAATTGCTGAATTTTTCATTTCTGTTCTCTAACTTTAGTTTGTCTCAACCAAATGTTATAAAACTTATACACAACCATTCTAGAGTTATGCGTGTTTACAAATAGAAAAATTGCTGAATTTTAAGTTTCTGTTCTCTACTTAAGTTAGCCTCAACCAAATGTTATGAGACTTACACACAATGCTTATTACCACAAAAACTCAGATCAAGTTCAAATTTGGGTAGCGTCACTTTTACCGTTCTTCAGTTATGTCCCTTTATAACTATATGATATGCAAGCGGAGGCATCATCTGTGTCCACATGTGGACACTATCCACATTTATTTTACATGTTATACTATAACTTGAGTTAGCTTGGATATATTTACCTGAAAAGTTATGGGACTTTAACTGTCAGATCAAGAAAAGGCATTTTTTAAATGTCATGTTCTAGCTCTAATATGCTTGGATCAAATACTACAAACTTAACACTGTTGTTGGGATTGGTGACTGTAGACTCGCTTTTGATGTTGAAAATGTTCTCTGGTTGGTCATTCCAGAGTTATCAGACTTTTAACAGTCATATTCGAGAATTTATATGCCCAAGAGTATCCTCATGCATGTTTTTCTACAAAGCCATTTTATTTGCTTCTGATTGAATGCCTTCAAAACATTTCATTTTATTTTTGCAAAAATTTAAAAATGCATAATAAAGGTGTATCATGTCCAATTGGGGCAGCTGCTTATTCCTATTTTCAAATTTTTTTCACTAACATTTAGATACTGTAAAGTCTGGGTTTAAAATTTTTATAGACATCAGTAACTTTGTCACACTTTCAGTGTAATTAACAAAACTTCGACAGAAGCTTATTCATAATCAAGAGATTGTCAAATTATTTTTAGATTTGCTTATTTTTTTTTCTGTATTTCACAAATCATTAGACCTTTTTTTTAAAGTAGTCAACCTTTCACAGCAGCAATTCAACGCAATACCACAGTCACCTGAATTTCTAGCAATAAATGATTAAGAATAGGTAAAAAATTATGTATAATACTATACCGTACTATATTTGTTTTTTTTTAAAATTCATTTTTAATCATTTTTTGCTTGAATATCAGGTAACAGTGGCGAGACAAAGGGTCAGTAGAACCCTTTTAACAATTTTTTATACAACTGCAAAATTTTTTTTCGCATCTTCCGAAGACATTTGGTTTCTGGACAATAACTTTAGTATTAGTAAATAGAAATCTATGAAATTTAAACACAAGGATTATAACCACAAAAGGAAGGTTGGGATTGATTTTAGGGGTTATGGTCCCAACAGTTTAGGTTTGAGGGGCCAAAAAGGGGCCCAAATAAGCATTTTTCTAGTTTCCAGACAATAACTTGTGGATTGGTGTATGGATCTCTCTGAAATTATACCAAAAGTTTCCATACCACAAAGGGATGGTTAGGATTGGCTTTGGGGGTGTTATGGCTCAAACTGTTTAGGAATTAGGGGCAAAAAAGTGAGAAAAAACAAGGGTGTCCTGGTTAATGGACAATTACTTAAGTACAATGTTGTGTTTGAATGACCTCCCTTACACTGCTTTTAAATTATGTATAAAGAAATGTTGTATTGTCTGGAGGTGATTAGCTGTCAATTTATTTTTAGAAGTTACTATTTAATAATTTTAAAAATGCTGATTAAGGTATATTAATTTTAGCCATGATTATGTATGTCATTTTCTATTTTAAGACTTTTATGATGTATTTGAATGGGTTATTATGGTTGCAAACTCCATTGGACTTGAGGGAAAGAATTTTTTTTTTGAAAAGGGGGGGGGGGGGGGAGGTTAAGAAAAAATTGGGGGGTGGGGATAATTTTTTTCTCAAGATTTCAGAAATCATAAAGAATATTTCTTCAAATATTTTTTTTTTAAAAAGGGGGGTAGGTCAATTCGCAACAGCATAGTGTAGTGCACAAAAGCAAAAAAAAAAAGGGGGGGGGGGGTCAATTTTTTTTTGGGGGGGGTGGGGTCAATTCGCAACAGCATAGTGTAGTGCACAAAAGCAAAATATTGAATATGAATTCAAATCATATAACCAATTCTAAGTTCTTTGACTAAGTAATTCTGTTTCAGAAACCTATTATGTGTCAAATATTGAATTACAATCCAAATTCAGACCTGTATCAAGCGGGAATACTGTGTCCATTTTTGCCCCAACTGTTCAGGGTTGGACCTCTTCGGTCGTATCCAGCTGCGCTCGGCGAAGCAATTTAGTTTAGATAAAAACTGCCTTTTTTGCTCATTCATACTTTGATTGTTTTGGTTCATCACAAATTGATTATGCATGTTAGTCATGTTGTGTTTGCAAGATTACATGTAAGATATGTTTCACAGTGATCATACCATACAAAACAGTTCAAAACAAGACAGTGTCAAATTGTTATTAATCATGTATAATATTTGACAGGAGGCATAGTGAGAATGACAATTAGCCTGACAGTCATTATAATGGAGGCTTCTGGGAACATTACTTTTGGACTTCCTGTTATGATTGTGTTGATGGTTGCCAAATGGGTGGGGGATATTTTTAATGAGGTAAGTAGACCATTGCAAACTAAGGAATCTTTGTAACTCTGTTTTTAACAAACAAGGTATTGTTAAAAATCTCAAATATACCTGAGTTTTTAAATGAGAACAAGAAATTTTGATGTTCATGTCTTTTTTGGGTAAAGATTGTATTTCATGCCATCAAAACCCTTATGTGACTGACTTGATATTTTGACTATCTCTACTTTTGAGATAAACAAACCATAGTGAGCACAACATTCTATTCATCCTATTCATGAACAGAAATGTATAAATGAAATGTATACTTACAAATTCAAGTTACAAAATTATGTTTATGTATATAACCATACTTGTCAAGAAAATTACATAAATTGTACATGGTGCACCAATTATCCAGCATCTGTTGTAAAAATATCAATGATGTCATTGTTAAAGTCATATTTAAAATTTGAGTTATCTTCCTTTGTCCATAATTGTAGTTGAACCAACTTTCATGCTTTATACAGTTAAGTTCATATTGCAAAATTAATGAAATATTTGCCCTTCAGTGCTCACAATCACTTTGATTATAATATTGCAGCAAAATGTTTGTGGTTTTCTGAAATTGTAAAATTAAGTTCATTTAAAAAAAATATTTTAGATATTGTATTTAATAATTATTGTTTCATTTGAACATAAGACAGAAAGAAACAAAAACAAATGACATACACATTTAAAAAAGAATTGTATTATTTTTTTATAGGGAATTTATGATATGCATATTCACATGCAAGGAGTTCCACTGGTTGGCTGGGAACCATCTTCTATGTTATCCACTAAAAGAGCAAGGTATGGACTGTATATTAAGAATGAAGATTTAATTAAAAGCCTTAAGGCTACAAGTTATGCTGCACAATATTAATTTTGGCAAGAGCTATGTAAGGCAGTGTTTGGTACTCACACAGGGCAATTTCACGTTAATTTAAATTCATGTTAATCTCACTCGAAATGAGCTTATTCGTGAAACTCACATGAAATCAGATCATGTGAGTTTCATGTGAAAATCACATGATTTTTTTTCACGTAAAATTCACATGAATTTTAGAAATAAAGTTATTCAAATAACATTTAACTTTTCAAATTTAATTAAAAATCATGAAAAATACTAATTTTTTTTGTGTAAAAGCTCATTTGAGATTCTAGTGAAATTCATGTGAGCAAAATTTGCCTGTGTAGAGGTATGTATAATATCTTTAATGAAATAATAGAAATAATAAAAAGGTTGACCAAGAAATAGCCAGCTAGCTCAGTCAGTTTTGTGAAAAACATTACTACTTCTTCTTGATGAGAAATATTTAAACTCATAGTATTTCAAACCAAACAAAATTTTTTTTTACCTGCTTTCTTTTTTCCCTACATTGATGATCCATGCTGTAATAGTACTTAGAAGGCAAACATAAGATAATGAATAATCAAGTTTTGTGTTCAGTGAGAATATGAACAACCCTGTAATAATATATAAAATCACAAACCCATTACAGTCCTTGTTTTCATTTCAGTGAGGTGATGAGCCACCCTGTAACAGTATTTAGAACAAAAGAAACAGTTGGCAGAATTATAGATGTTCTGAAGTCAGAGACACACAATGGATTTCCAGTAGTGGAGGATTATGATCCTTTTGTTGAACAGGTTGGTATTGTAAAGTAATTTTATGTTTAAACACCACATAGGGTGCCTGAACCAAGTCAGTCTATCTGGACCATGTTCTTTGTTGTTTGTCTTTGTTTTGTTATGTCTGTTTTTGGGAGAAGTCAGGTGTTGGTAGATGATTTGATCCTGCCTTACAGTCATAAAACTTGATTTAGTACTCAAGAGTAATAAATTTGTGCTTGAAACATTAAATCCAGTAACTTGATTGGTTGATTTCTGAGTCTGAGTACAATATTCATATTAAAAATTTATATGGCTGCAAGGCCTGTTGAACTGAGCGGTATTTTGGTTATTCCTGTTATCCTCCTCTATGTAATGTTGATTTGTTATCTGTGGTGGCAAAATTAACAACTGCATAACTTTCAGTATTTTTGCTGTGAATGTGGTAGTTTTGATAAATATTTTTTTTTTCAAATTCATGAATGTGATTTTCTAATAGTGCTTAAAAAATTATCATAATCATTTGTCTACTTTTTGTCATTCATCAAAGTTAAGTAATATTTTCATGAATAACTGATTTTCACAGATATAATGTTTTTCTAAAACCACAAAAGCAAATTTCGAACCAATTATAAAATTTGGATAGTTTTGTATAGCGTCTGGTTTTGAAATTCAAAATATAATTGATTCCATGACACAACAGATTTTTCAAATCCATGAAATTTGTCTATGTACATAAATAGTGTAAGAATCTGTTTCTATTTTTAGTCTTTCAAGGATGAGGCTGAGAGTTTTGGGACATACAAAGGTGTTATACTGAGATCACAACTTATAGTTTTATTGAAAATGAAGGTATGCAATGTGTTTTCTTCAATTTCCTTCTTAGTGAAGTGAAACCATACATTTTTAACCAAAAAGACAACACCTAAAAATTGTAACAGTTATGAATAGTACATGTGTACTGAAATTATTAGATATTCATACTATTGTATGTTTATATAAGTGACACATGTTCAAGTTTTGTGCAAGATTATAAAGGTATATTTTATGTTAAAAACCTGTACAAGGGACAGAATTAACCAATATCAAAACATGGCTTATCAGGTGACAAAATTTTGTAAAACTGTAAAATTCTTCTATACTTTTGTCTTCTTTGAGAGTCGTGACTTTCTTATTTCAGTTCTGTGGCGCAATATGCATACTTACAATACTTCGCTGTATATAATCTGGCATGGAAAATCTTTTCTCTTACTGATCAAGATCAACATTATTGATGTTCTGAGTTTCATTTCCTAAAATAACATTCAGAGTTTAACATTAACTCATAATGTTCAGGTTATTGTGTCTACAAATTTCCACTTTAAATTAAATATACCCAGCTGAGCTTAAGCTACCATGCCATCTGGCTAGTTGAATCTATACTGTTGCATTTTTCATACTCATATTTGTGTCAGAATACAGAATATGGACATAACAAAAAAACTCATTTGTGATTGATTAAGAGAGCTCTCAGATAAATATAAGGGTTTAATTTGTATATATATATTTTTATATTTTAGTGAATTTCGCTTTCTTTGAAGTTTAAAAATAATGAGGTGATCTTGACTTAATTATTATGTCTCAAATTCTTAATAGTTTTTCTGAGATAACTAGGTCTAATCTAAATATGCGTCAACAACAAAATCATCTCTTGACTTTCCATTTATAAAATTTGCTTCTGTAAGAAATGGAAATTAGGGGGTCTATACTAAAAAGAAGTAAATTGTCAACAATGTCCTGACTGATTGATATGATTTGTTGATAAAAAGAAAATAATCAAGGCTAGCTTTATAGGTAGTTTTTCATGTTTTTTGTCCCCTGCGCAACGTGTTGCGGGTAGCATAGAAATACTGGGCATCCATCCAGTCTTATTAGCGCTCTCACATGTACAATTCTTGGCAGATTTTAATAAAACTTATATCATAGGTTTATATCAGCAATGTCTCGGATGTGTTTGAAAATCAGTGCCGACCAATTATTTTTAAAAGAGTTATGTCCCTTAGAAACTTTAATTTTATGAAAAATTGTATCGTTAGCGCTCACATGTGTATAATTCTTGCCAGATTTTTATGAAACTTATATTGTAGGTTTATATCAGCAATGTCTCTGACAAGGTCGATAATCAGTGCCGATCAATTATTTAAAAAAGAGTTATACCCCTTGGAAACATTACTTATATAAAAAATTGCATCGTTAGCGCTCTCATTTGTACAATTCTTGCCAGTTTTTTATGAAACTTATATCATAGGTTAATATCAACAATATTTTTGACGAGTTCGAAAATCAGTGCCGATGAATTTTTTTTAAAAGAGTTGTGTCCCTTGGAAACATTAATTATATGGAAAATTGCATTATTAATGCTCTCGTGTGTACAATTCTTGCCAGATTTTTATGAAACTTATATTTTAGATTTATATCAGCGATGTTTGAACATGTTGGAAAATCTGTGCTGATCAATTATTTTATGAAGAGTTATCCCCCTTGTAAATATTTATTTTATGGAAAATTGCCTTTTGAGTGCTCTCATGTGTACAATTCTTGCCAGATTTTTATGAAATTTATATTATAGGTTTATATCATCAATGTCTTGGATGAGTTCAAAAATCTTTGCCGATTAATTATTTTTAAAAGAGTTATGCCCTGTGGAGATATTAATTATATGGAAAATTGCATCGTTAGCGCTCTCATATATACAATTATTGCCTGAATTTTATGAAATTTATATCATAGGTTTATATCAGCAATGTCTTTGACACTTTCGAAAATGAGTGCTGATCAAAAATTTTCAATGAGTTATGTCCCTTGAAAATATTAATTATATTGGAAATCACATTGAAATTGCTCTGAAACATTCATTCCTCCAAGATATTTATCAACAGTTTTAAATTAAACCAAAAAAAAAAGTGTATTTTTTAGTTATTGCCCTTGATCCTTGGATAGATAAAATATGTGCAATGCGGGGGACATTGGAACTCTGTTCTTTTATTAACTTTACAGGTAATCTTTTATTAACCAATCAGACAAGTACACTACAGCTTTAACTTGCCAAAGAACATGTTTCAACTGTCAATCAAACAACCCTTACTGTAGAACCCTGAAATTAAGTTCCATCAACATTTACAATTTCTGCGAAGGTGGCCTTTACTAGTTATCAGTTTCAGTCTAAAGATATACAAATTGTAATACTTTACATAATTTTAGTAAAATTATATTTGTAATGTTTTTTGTTCATTTTACATATGTAATACTTTTTATGTAGGCTTTTGAAGAGCATGAAGATGTACAAGCTGTGAAATCAGTATTGAATATAAAAGATTTTCGGGATGCCTATCCTAGGTTTATACCTATACATGTGAGTTTTTACAATATTTTTTAACAGCTTTGTTTTTATGTGAAGTTTTCAGTGTCAGATGTGGTCGTGACAATAATTTAAAAATTTTATTATGATAAAAAAATAAATATTGATGCTTTGCCATCATCACTTGCCAAGTTGGCATCCGTAGTAAACTCTAGCACAAGTTTTCTTGTCTAAAACTGCTGGGCCAAATGTTACTAAACTTTACCTAAATATTCCTTAGGGTATCAAGTTTAAAAATTGTATGGGGGGATTTGATCCATCAACAAACATGGCTGCTGTTTCTGAAAAACGAAAAATAGTGGTGAAATACAGTTTTTGGCTTATATCTCAAAAACTAAAGTAGTTGAAGCAAATTAGACTGGGATTGTATTGGCCAGTAGGTCGAGATGAATCTTCTGTGAAATTTTCAGAAATATCAATTTCTTGCAAATTTTTTTTTGATAGTTTAGTTTTTGAACAAACTAGAACAATAAAAGATAGTGAGAAACAGTTAAAAAAGTAAAACTGTTCAGCACAATAAGATCTACTAATCAGTCATCATTGCTGATACTGTCAACAGACTCTGTATAGAAGTAATCCCCCTGAATGAAGATTTTTATCTAGTTTTTGCATTTTTGTCAAAAACTATAGGAGTAAGAGAGAAACTTTAAAAGGCAAAAAAGATCAGCAAAATAAGATCTGCAAGTAAGTCAACATGGCCAAATTGTCACGCTAGTTATAGGATTGATTGCCATTAAATGATGTTTTTTTTTATCTCAAAAACATTAATAGATGGGTATGAAATGTAAACAGTAAAAACAATCATCAATTCTAGGTGCTAAATAAGGTCTATAAATCTAAGTAATCATAACTAATTGCAATAAAGGAAACAAAATAAACATCAAAATTACATAATTTTTACCAGGTGAGCCATTCGGGATCTTGGGAGCCTCTACTTTTAAATATAGTTCTGTTTTGGACGGGAAGAAAATAACAATAAAAAATATAAATCAGTTGTATTTTCCAGTCTGCTCAAAAGAATTTGCATAACAATACATTCCTTTTCAACATATGCAAATACAGTGTATACTTTAAGCATTATAAAATTTTACTTCAACATTTGAAATTAAAAATTTGAGTGAAAAAGTTCAATATGTAGGTGTCTATTTGATATAAGTGCTCTGCTGCTTTTAAATTTTTTCTCTTTTTTTGTTTTAGCAAATTAATATATCTCCACATGAAAGAGAATTTACAATAGATCTACAGCCTTATATGAATCCTGGAGCATATACAGTCTCACATGTAAGTTAAAATATATTGTTTCCAAATATGATGGGCAGTGAATGTTATTTAAAAGACATATAACAATTATTTTACTGAAATGTCTTCTGTATCATATTTTTTACCATTGATTGAATTTTGTTTCATCTTATGGTTTTCATATTAAGGAAAATAGCAAAAAGTTCTGACACATTAGGATTTTGTGCCATAATTTACCACATGATTGCTTAAAAGTCCAAGATGTAAATGAAAATTTGTAGCATGACTTTTGACATCGTGTTTCTTAGGCAAAGTTAGGAAACAATGTTTAATAATTATATTTAGGTAAAATGTCAAAAATGCACGCCATATTATAGTGGTGTTTCATATTAAGATATTCTCTAATACTGGTATGACCGTAGATATATCCCCTACTTTTTGCAGCCCTGGTGGTATATAGTAATGGGGGTGTCCAACTGTTCATTCATTCTTCTGTCCCAATTTTTTATTTGCCATTGCTCCTGAAATGAGCATTTGAATAAATCAATAATTAAAAAAAAAATTGTTTTAGCTCATTTCTTCTCAAATTGCATGGAATTTTCAATACTAATCTCAGAATTATTTGCAGCTACTTACAATAACTGTCATATAATTTTTATTTTTATACCCCTGCTTTAAAAAAGTGGGGGTATACTGTTCTACCTCTGTCTGTCCATCCATCTGTTTATCCACATGTTTTCGTGATTTATAATTTCAGAAGTTAGATGACCTGAATAATTCATACCTTGTATACAGGTGCTTTATCTTTTGAAGTTTCCATCTGTCATATGTTCATTGTCATGTTTCAGCGACTTCTTAAAACCTAAACCAAATAATTGTATCTTGGAAAGATTTTAGTGAAGGTTATAAGTAATTTGTGATACAAAATTGACGACTTAATAATTTACCAGTTATGCAAAGATTATGTTCTTTGATTGATTGAAGTTTGCCTAACGTTGATTTCTATCAATTTTCACAAAAACACAGTGAATAAGGAGCTTAAACGGGAAAGCATGCAAAAGAAATTGCAAAAACATGTTGCATGGAAATAACATTTTTTTCAATCCTTGAAGTACATCGGTTTAGTGTCATGGAAATTGCATAAAAATAGTTTCTCTGCATGGTTACTTACTACACCAAAAAAACAAAAAAATTGTGTGTTTTTTTCTGCATTATATTTTCATTAATATGAACCTCTTTATTTTTCAGAATTCTTCATTTCCAAGAATATTCAGATTATTTAGAGCTCTTGGACTTAGACATTTGGTAGTAGTTAATGAAAATAATAAGGTTTGTTCATAATACATTTTACTTACTCATTAATAAACTTAAACATTGATTAATTAAATGAATAAATGAAATCGAGACTTGAGCATATATTTAAAACAGAACTAACAGTTATGCAATTGTCATTCATTTTTCTTATGTGAAAACAAGATTATTCACAGCCAAATGATTCTTACAAATACTTGAATCTGATTGGTCTTTTAGAATTTCTTTCTTTGGTTAACACTTTGATAGACCTTGTTGTCGAAAATAATTTCATTACCTGTCATCCATTTTCAGGGAATATATTCATGCCGCAAACACATGAATTGAATCCTGGGGTTCCAAGAAAGTTGAAATTATATAAAGAAAAAAAATATATAAATGTTTGGGTTGAGAATTATAAGGATTAAACACTTTTTTGTAGAGTTTATTAATGTGTAAACTGGGGCAATGACTCACAAACTTTACATAAAAATCCTTTAGACTTTTATTCAGTTTATGAGTTAATTAGCTGAGTAAACACATCAATAACCTCTTGAAAAATGGCCTAGAATTAATTAAGAAAACTAATTTTATTTAAAAATTAAAACCTATGAATTCGGTATTTCAATCAATTTTTTCTTTCTTCCAATTTTTTCTTTCTACACATTGGGGTAAACTTATGTTCATTTTTCTTTGAGGAGACTTCCAAATATACTTGAGTTAACTAACAAAAGTTGAATCAACCAAGTTCGACTCATACGAGTAAGAAATGCATTGAACAAACAGGAATTTCAAAGGAACTGACATAAAACTACTTTTTATTCAAGTTTTCGACATAACCAAGTTAGACACAAGTCTTGACTGTATACTGAAAAATTGGTACAAAACAAGAAAAATCATATAATTTTACAAAACATACTGATTTCATCATGGTTTGCTGCCATGGTAAATTGTCAGATGTGATACTTGTTTTTATTTTTTGTATACCTTCTAATTTAGACATATCAAAGCAAATTTAGGGTCATGTATGGTAACTTTAAAATTTGCATTAAATTTTAGGCCAGATATGTAAAATCTTTTGTTGTGTGCACTGTTAAAATTGTAGGAAATATTAAAACAAGGGTGTCTTTTAGTGATAAGAATATGGAGCAATTGCAACATGTTTGGAGTCAAATAAACCTTATCACCATTGCCCTCATCGTTTTAGCTTGCTTGGCCCATCAGTTTGCTTCTGTTTTAGACAATTTACATTTTCGGCATCTCCCCATAAACTACCAGGTCAAAAACAAAGGCAATCTTAGATTTTGATTGGCCAATTCTTTCAAAATCGTTTAAGTGAATTGTTTTGAAACTTCAAGGGATTGATAATTGTAAGAAGCTCTACAGATATTCCTAATTGAATGATAATAGTGTGGCAATCATTGTGGTATTGGTGGCACATTGTTTCCTATTGAAATCCTAATGAAAATCACAATTTCACCATCTTCTCTGAAAGTACTTTTCACTAAACTTGACATTAGGGATGAATGAAGGGTCCTCCACAAATGATGCTCAGATGAAGAACAAGAGCTTAAATTTGATTCAGATTGACCAATTTTTGCAAATATCCTGCATATGGGTCCTAAAATGATTTTATTTCAGTTTTGGGGATTTTTTCAACATTTTTTTCTAAGAATGCACACATGTTAAACCAGGTTAAGCTAGGTATGGAACATCTCTGATTGAACTCATCAGTTTCAAAGGAGGTGTTCTGCATTTTGTAGGCACTTTCAACTAGCAAAACAACATGCTCTTAACATCTTACATGAACCTAATTCAATATTATATATAGATTCCAAGTGAGTGATACAGCCTCATTGTAGACTTTTGTTTGTGTTCAAAATAACTTGTGTATATCCTTTATTAATGTTGATATTACTTGCGTATAAAAGCTATATTCAGAGATCAATCACCATATTGTTGCCACTATTAAAACTATTCAAATATTTAAAATATGTACACACACACACACATATACAGCAAAAAATTTTTACCTAAAAGTAAAGAGCATTTGAGAGTGTCTTGAAGACGACATATTTCTATATAAAAATAAATGTATGAACATATTTCAGGTGATTGGCATGGTAACAAGAAAAGATTTAGCCAGATACAGAATCTCATCTCATTTTGGAAATGTACAGATTGATGAGTTGTACATTTCACAGTCTTGATGGATATTAACATTGACTGATAAAACCCACCTTTGCTATGATATTATTTTTTCAAACAACTGCAGATTTAATGTTTGTATTATCAGAAAAGTTTCTTTATTGTTACCTTTAAGGGATCAAGAAAGGGAATATTTTTTTTGTTTCCAGACACCAGCATTATAGAGATTCATGCATTCCTTTATCTTGAATGATTTTCAGTGGTTCTTGGAAAAGGTGCAATTTTTAAAATCTTTTCCATTTTGATCAAGGAGAAGCTACAGTTTTCATGATTGTCTGTTAAGTTTTAAATACCCCAGATTTTTTTTCTGAGATTAAATAGTTTTCTTAATTATATCAAAAAGTAATCTACACAGTTTCTTGCAAAGCAAATAGTAGATTTGTTTCCATGTATGACATGGTCATTGTTAAGTTTTCTAAATCTTCAATTATATGAATAATTATACAGGAGTAAACCTTGAAATGTTGTTGCAAGTTATTTATTTAAAAAAAGAATACATTTTTAGCTCACCTGGCCGAAAGGCCAAGTGAGATTTTCTCATCACTTGTCGTATGTCACTGTTAAGGTTGTCGTTAACTTTTTACAAAAAAAAAAAACCAAGTTGCCACAATTATCATTCAGGTATGTAGTTCAAAAAACATGTCCCATGACCCCGCTTGCCAACCAACATGGCAGACATGACTAAAAATAGAACATAGGGGTAAAATGCAAGTTTTGTCTATTATCTTGAAAACCGCTATGAAAAGAGAAAATCTGACAATACAGAAATGTTCAGAATGTTAAGATCTACCTGCTGTCCATTAACATCGAAACTGTCAGATGACTTCTTATAGGAGTTATTGCCCTTCAATGTAAAATTTTACTGATTTTTTTTCATTTTTGCCTTTTATTTTGAAAACTATAATAGGTAGAGAGAAATTTTAAATAGGAAAAATGATTAGACAGACAAGACCTACAAATAAACATGGCAGTTATTGCCTCTTTATGACAAATTTTCCATTTTTTTGCTTTTTTGATTAATAGTTTACAAAATCTTCTCCTCTGTAATTACTGGGCAAAATTTTATCAAACTTGGCCACATTTATTATTAGGGTATCTAGTTTAAAAAATATGTCTGTTGATCCCACTTGCAAACAAACATGGCGGACATGGCTGAAAATAGAACATAGGGGTAAAATGCAAGTTTTATCTTGAAAACTGCTATGAAAAGAGAAAATCTGACAGGGACAGAAATGTTCAGAATTTTAAGATCTTCCTAATATCTATTAAATTCAAAACCGTGAGAAGACTTCTTATAGGAGTTATTGCTCTTTAATTACGATTTTGCCATTTTTTGGGGGGCGTTTTTATGCCCCACGTCTTAGCGAAGGGGGCATTAAGTTTTACCCTCATTCGTCTGTACATCCGTCTGTCTGTACGTCCTGAAATTGGTTTCCATTCTCTAACTTTAGTTTGCCTCAACCAAATGTTATGAAACTTATACACACAATGCTTATTACCACAAAACACAGATTCAGTTTGAATTTGGGTGGCATCACTTTTAACTTTCTAGAGTTATGCCCCTTTACAAATGGAAAAATAGCTGAAATTTATCTTTTTCTGTTCTCTGACTTAAGTTTGCCTCAACCAAATGTTATGAATCTTTTACACAATGCTTATTACCACAAAACTCAGATCAAGTAAGAGTTTGGGTAGCATCATTTGTACGGTTCTTGAGTTATGTCCCTTTATAACGTTATATGCAAGCAGGGGCATCATTTGTTCCCATGGACACATTCCCCATTTATTTGTCAAATGATATTGATAGATTGATAAATATCCCAGAGTGCTGATAGAAGATATAACAATGTTTGGATCTGTTTGTTCCAGTGTAGGGCTAGTGTTCTTCTTCCTCTTGATATCTTTTGAGTTTTTTTGTACATTACCTGTCCATAATGTTAGTGCAATATTCAATTATATGTAAACCCTTTATTTTTAAGATGTTGATATATTCTAAATATATGTATAAAATAAAACATTTCTTTGCAACTTTTATTGTTGTCTTTGTTCTGATATATTTACGAATAGTTATATGATTTTGAAAGTACATTTGTAATATTGTATAAATTTGGTGCATTCAAACAAAGCTCAAACTCAAAAATTAAAAGCCAAGGTTGTGGTAGTACTTGAGGAGCCTTTATGACCAAAACAAATAAAAAAAAGAATATCAAAATACAACTAAGTTCAGGTTTGCCTGAGGGAGTTGGAACCTTAGTTTTGTAATAACTTCTTCATTTATCTACCAAGAATTTTCTTTTATGTTATTAATAACCCATCTTTGGTAGCCAAAGATTATGATCCAGGAGGGGACTGGATCGTAACCCTTGGCTAGCGAAGATGTTAATAACCCCACTACTGAAGCACTGACTCCTAAGCTGATGTACTGTAAATTAAGAAAATTTTGCATCCATTTATCATTGCAATTGTTGAACAATGGAAAAAAAATTCTTTATTAGTTATTGCTATTTCATGAAATGATGAATACAAAAATGCTTTCAAATTTGGAATACAAGTTTTTGTTATTGCAAAGGAAAATCCTGCCACAATTTTCCTAATAATAAACACATTGTAAAAAATCTGAATTTACAGAATAAGCTTTTAGGAAGAAAAAGGTATTTCTGTGGTTAACACCATGCCATTTCCTTAACTTATGACACCATATCATGTACTCCATCAATAAAAATTATGTTATCTGTTCTACAAATGATGTCACATTATATGGTCTAGTAATAACATTATCTGATCCATCAATGAAGACAATAGTATCTGCTTTAGCAATGACTCCTTGTTATTTACTAAAGAATCTATTCCCACAACACCATGTTATTTACTCCCAACAATGAAACCATCTTGTCTACCCCGGTATCTGCTCCTTCAAGGACACTGTTATTTATACCAACAATGACTCTTTGTTATCTACTCCAGTATCTACTCCTACAATGACTCCTTTTTATCTACTCAAGTATCTGCTCCAACAAGAACACCTTATCTACTCCGGTATCTGCTCCTTCAAGGACACTGCTATCTACTCCAACAATGACACTTTGTTATCTACTGCAGTATCTGCTCCTTCAAGGACACTGTTATCTACTCCAACAATGACACCTTGTTATTTACTCTTGTATCTGCCCTTACAAGGACACTGTTATTTACTCTAACATGACACAAAATATCAGCTAAATCAGTGACAATATGTTACCTGTTCTTTCAGTCAGACGTATTTTTATACAATTTTGCGGTCGTATATTGGTATCACGTCATCGTTGTCGTCAGCGTTGTCTGAAGACATTTGGTTTCCGGACAATAACTTTAGTAAATGTAAATAGAAATCTATGAAATTTAAACACAAGGATTATAACCACAAGAGGAAGGTTGGGATTATTTTGGGGGTTATAGTCCTAACAGTTTAGGAATTAGGGACCAAAAAGGGGCCCAAATAAGCATTTTTCTAGTATCCAGACAATAACTTGTGGAACGGTGTATGGATCTCTCTGAAATTATACCACAAGTTTCCATACCACAAAGGGATGGTTAGGATTGGCTTTGGGGGGTAATGGCTCAAACCGTTTAGGAATTAGAGGCAAAAAAAGGGGAAAAACAAGGGTTTCCTGGTTAATGGACAATTAAAAAAAAAAGTACAATGTTATGTTTGGATTACCTCCCTTACACTGCTTTTAAATTGTGTATAAAGAAATGTTGTATTGTCTTGAGGTGATTAGCTGTCAATTTATTTTTAGAAGTTACTATTTAAAAATGCTGATTAAGGAATATTAATTTTAGCCATGATTATGTATGTCATTTTCTATTTTAAGACTTTTATGATGTATTTAAATAGGTAATTATGGTTGCAAACTCCATTGGAAATTTGAATTGAGATTATGACCATATCTTGAGGGAAAGAATTCTTTTTTTGGAAAAAGGGAGGGGGATGGGAGGTGAAAAAAAAAATGGGGGGGGGGGGGACATTTTTTTCTCATTTCAGATTTCAGAAATTAAAAAGAAAATTTCTTCAATTATTTTTTTTTTTTTGCAAAAAATGGTGGGTCAATTTTTTTAAATTTTTTTTTTTGGGGGGGGGGGTCAATTCGCAACAGCATAGTGTATTGCACAAAAGCCAAAAAATAAGGGGGGGGTCAATTCGCAACAGCATAGTATATTGCACAAAAGCAAAAAATTATATACATGTAACCAATTCTAAGTTTTTGACTACAGTTATTCTGTGGCAGAAACCTATTATGTGTCAAATATTTAATTTCAATCCAAATTCAGACCTGTATCAAGCACGAATATTGTGTCTATTTTTGTCCCAACTGTTCAGATTTGGACCTCTGACTTCATATCCAGCTGCACTCGGCGAAGCAATTTATTCAACAATAATGTCATACAGTCTGCTCCATCAATGACATCACATTCTCAACTTCATAAATTAAAAAAAAAAAAAAAACTATGTGAATAACTCAAATAATCATACCAGGTGGTCTCGTGGTAGTGTGTTCGCCTTGAGTGCTGGAGGTTGTGGGTTCGAACCCCGGCTGGGTCAAACCAAAGACTTTAAAATTGGTATTTGCTGCTTCTCCACAAAGCACACGACATTAAGGAGTAAAAGCAAAGACTGGTCGGCTCAGGGTCAGAATAATGTGGTAAGGTGACGTGTCTTCCTGCAGACACCTTGTGAACTAGCATGTTAGCAAGCTCAGCGTGTTGGTCTAGTACAAAGCAGGGTTAATATTCATATTACATTAATATGTTCTCGTCCTAAATATGCATATTAATTTGCCGCTGGATGTAAAGCAGCCATCCATCATCATCATCATCATCAATCACTGGGTAGATGCCAATGTTGGTGGAAGTGTCTTCCCTGAATTTATCACCAGCCCAGTTATCATCACTTTGTTTTGTTTTCACATGAAATAGCATTGATATGTTCAATTTCTGTAGATATACCGTTTTTAAAATTTTAAAAAAATTATTCAAAACACAAGAGGTTTTTCTACCTCCAGGCACAAAAGTCTGAGCCGTATTTGGTACAAGTTTTTGGAATTTTTGGTTTTCAGTGCTGTTCGACTTTGTATTTATTTGACCTTTCAACTCAGTTTTGATTCATGCACCACTGATGAGTCTTATGAAGCCTCGTATCTTTGTTGAGTTTTTGTTTTGCCTTGTCACAGACAAAAAGCGAGACATTGGTATGCTGTTTCTGGTGACGGGGCGGCGTCAACAATGTTCTAGCTTGTGATTAGGTTAGTTTATGGAGAACCACTCGTGGTAGGTCAATGATATTTGGTATGCAATTGTATTAGCATTTACACATCACATTTCCAAGGTGATTATTTGGCCCTGCCCCCTCAGTCATAGTCTATTGACTTTTTTTGTTTAGTTAACATGTATTAGTTTATGCAGAGACATATATATATATGTCTCTGGTTTATGGTTAGGTCAGTTTATGGGGAACCACTAGTGGAAGTCAATGATATTTGGTTTGCAGTTGTATTAGCATTGGCACATCTCATTTCCATGGAGATTATTTGGCCCTGCTCCCTTAGTCATGGTGTATTTACTTTGAAACTTTTGCTTAGTTTACATGTTTTAGTTTGTGATTAGGTCAGTTTATGGGGAACCACTAATGGTAGGTCAATGATATTCGGTATGCAGTTGTATTAACATTGGCACATCTCATTGCCATGGAGATTGTTTGACCATTTACTTTCAGTTATGGTTCATTGGCTTTGAATATTTTGCATTACTTACATGTTAAAGTATTGCTATTTTAATTTTAACATTTGCATTTTACTATGAAAATAACAAAAAGGCAAGATATATCTCTGTGTTAACCGTTTAATCTACCAATTACCTCATGTTATTTGTTATAGCTGTTATACCATTTTAGTTGTACTACCAATTTCATCTTGTGATCTTTTCTGCCAAAAAATTACTTTATCTGTTCTACCCATTACACCTTGTTATCGGTTCTATCCATTACGCCTTGTTATCTGTTCTATCAATTACACCATGTTATTTGCTCATTCCATTACACCATGTTATTTTTATCTGCACAGCTGAAGCGGATTGAGTTTTAGTAACCTTCGACTCCGTCCGTCTGTCAAAGTTTTGTTGGCTTCTATGAAAACAAGGAAGTTTTTTGTCAAACTTTTCTCGACATAGCAATAGTGGGAAATAACCCATTTGACGTACAAGTCCTAATAAATATGACATATGACTACAGCCAACATGAAGGATATTTGCTCCAACCAGAAAAAAGTGTTATTTTACCAGTTACTGTGACTTGACTGTAAGTGTTGCTCTCCACCTATTACAACTTATTCAAAATTCTGACCAAATTGCAATTTGTTTTATAAAAACCAAACTGTTCAACTGGTCAGAAATTTGAACATACCACAGTCAAGTCGTGAAAGTGCAAGGTGATAAAATAAAGCATACTTACAATCCTAGAAGACTTTAATTCCACTTCAATGTTATTATGAAAATCAGTCTAACAGTTTGTATAGAAATTTTATTGTTATTGTCATGCTAAAGGTGATGGGTAGTAATTTTGAATTGCTATAAAAATGTTCAAACTAAGCTTTCATACAATTTTTCTTACGAAAAGTCTTCTATATTCATAAGAATCAGACATCATTTGAATTAAAACATTTTATATTCAGTAAAATATATGTGAAATTACCATACGTTGTTAATAAGTTTCCATGGGAGATAACCTAAAACATTATTCTTTTGAATAAAGAAGACTTTTCGAAAGAAAAAAATGATTATCTCCCATGGAAACTTCCTAATAACGTATTGTAATTTCACAATTAGACTGAATTTTTGCAAGGTGGAGAGCAACATTAACAGTCAAGTCACAGTAAAACCAACCAAAATTTGCAGAAGATACTTGGTCAATGAACAACAAACCAATGCCTATTGTGACCAAAACATCTCACATCGGTATACAAAGAGATACTACTGACTCAGCTGGAAGTACTATAGAAAAAA